CCCTGTACAAGCACTGGCACTCATGGGTTTCACAGTGGGGGGAAGACACGCCAAATCTGAGTCATCACAGGGGATGAGTGTAATTCCCCCATACCAGAGGGGAGAGGACACAGCCCCAGAGGGGAGCCCTTCTCTACCCAGGCCCAGGGCACTCTGTTCTGGGGAAGGGTCTGTGGGACCAGAGCAGTCTTTCCATCCTATGGAGATGCTCTTTGTGAGAAAGCCTGGGACCCTGTCTCGGGTACCCATTTTGCTGGATGTGCCCTTGGGCAAGATCCTTAAAACCTCACTGCACCTCAGTGTCCACAGCTGTATAATGGACCCAGATAACCCTGGCTGCTCCATCTACCTCACCAGGTGTTTATGAGAGAACAGTGGGCAAAGCCCTGGGCAAACCACTGGAAGGCAAGCTCCAGGAGGGCTCTGTGCACTGTAGCATCCCCACACCTAGGCCTGTGCCTGCGCAAAGCAGGCATGAATGAATGAAACCACTCAGGACTTTTCTCATCTAGGGGCGCTCTGGCCAAGCACCGCCTGACCCCATGTTGCCGCATTTAATTCTCCTGGCAGTCCAGTGAAGTAGAGGCTACTGTTCCCATCATCCAGAGATGGAAACTGAGGCTCAGGGAACATTCGCGAACTTTGACGGAGTCACGGTAAATGGCTCGGCCTGGATCCAGGTCGACGGGGACTCCAATAGGGTTTGGTGAAAGGAATGGGCGAAAGGGTGGGGGCGTCCAGGACCAACCCCTGGCGCGTTCGCCTCTCCTGGGCGGGCAGGAGCGCGTGCGCCCCACGCCGAGAGCGGCCCCGGGCCCTGCAGCTCCGTGGGCAGGTCCTCCTCCCGTCCTGTCCGCCGCCCCCCGCGCTCGCGCCCCGTCCGCGCTCACCTGGCCCCGGGCTCCTGCTCCCGCGGCGCTGCCTGCTCCCGGCGCTGCGCCCAAGCATCTCCGGCGAGCCTGGGCGCCGCGGGCCACCGCCTCCTCGGGGCGGGGCCGGGCTCCGGGACCGCCCCTCGCTCCTCCCTCTGTCCCCGGCGGCTCCAAGGCGGGGACGCTCAGGATCTCACAGAGGAGAAACTGAGGCCGGCCGACGAGGTGAAATGGCCCGCGCTGCTGGTGGGGAAAGGACGCGAAGGCACTGCGTGCCGGGCCCTGTGCTGCCCATAGTCGTCCTAGAACCCCTAGAACCCCTAGAACCCCTAGAAACGGTGTTTCTTTCCCCACCCATCGACCCATCCATCTATTCTCCCACACGTTCCTCTCTCTTCAGCCTGCCTCCTGCCTTCCTTTCTACCTTCCTTCCTCGCTTTCATCTGTTCATCATCCCACCTAGTCTTCCATCCATCTCTGTGTCTATTTATCCATCCTTCCATCAATTTTTTGTCCATCCATCCATTCATTTATCCATCCGTCTTGTCATTCTTTTTTTTTTTTTTTAATTTTATTTATTTATTTATTTTCCCCCCAAAGCCCCAGTAGATAGTTGTATGTCATAGCTGCACATCCTTCTAGTTGCTGTATGTGGGACGCGGCCTCAGCGTGGCCGGAGAAGCAGTGCGTCGGTGCGCGCCTGGGATCCAAACCCAGGCCGCCAGCAGCAGAGCGCGCACACTTAACCGCTAAGCCACGGGGCCGGCCCCGTCTTGTCATTCTGTCTTCCTACCTATCCATCCTGCCTTCCATCCTTCCAATTCATTCCTATATCTGTCCTTCCTTCCTTCCACCCATCTATTTATCCTCCTGTTCTTGCATTCTTCCACCATCTCTGGGTTCATCCATTCTTCGATGCCATGGTTCCACGTTTAATAGGTGCTTCTCCAGTGCTGGCCTTTCCCTTACACTGGAGACCCATATGGATCACACCCTTGAAAACCCATTTGCAAGTGGGTTTTGCAGAGGGGAGGGCATGTGCCCAACAGCTGGCACAGCTGCTATAATACAGTGATGGGGGCTGTGCACCCAGGCTGGTCACTTTGGTCTGAAGAGGGCTGCTGGAAAGGCCTCACCCCTATGAACATGCTCTGAGGGCGTAGGTGGGTGTAGGGAAGAGAAAAACAAAATCTTAGCCAGCACATGCTATGTGCCAGGTGGTAAGGTACATATCTTGCTTAATCCCCACAACTCTGTTTTAGCCCAATTTTAGAGACAGGGAAACAGGTTCAGAGAGATGAAAGGGGCTCAGAGTGTGGTGGAAAAAGACCATGGGATAAACCCTGGGTTTAAATCTTGGCTCTGCCACTTTCTTGCTGTGTCTCTTTGGGCAGCTACAAGGCTGAGTTTCCTCATCCATAAACTGGAAGTGGTGTGTACTTCACAGTTGTGACGTTGTGAGGCTTGTGGCTAACAAGGTATACGCAAAATGCTGAATCTGGTGCCTGCCCAGTCAGTGCTCAACCAATGGTAGCTGTATAGGAGAGGCTGGGATTCAGACCCAGGTCCTGTGCTTGGCCACTTCACTAACTGTGTCTCTGGACCATCCTTCCATTCACAAAGACCAGCTTCTTCCTTCCCCACCAGCAGGGCCATAGAACTCATATTCCCCAAGCCCAGCTAGCTGGTGTTGCCTTAGAAGAAGCATAGTTTACAACACAACTCTTTTGAGTTGAATTATGTCTCCCCCAAATTCATATGTTGAAATCCTAACCCCCAGTACCTCAGAATGTGACCTTAGTTGGAAATAGAATCATTGAGGATGTAATTAAAGACAAGGTCACACTAGAGTAGGGCCCTACTCCAGTATGACTGGTGTCCTCACAAAAAGGGGAAATTTGGATACAGACATGCACACGTGGAGAACAGCATGTGAAGACTGGAGTTATGCTGCCATAAGCCAAGGAACTACTAGAAGCCTGGAGAGAGGCCTGGAACAGATCCTTCCTAGTGCCTTCAGAGGGATCATGGCACTGTCGGTACCTTGAGCTCAGACTTTCAGCATCCAGGACCAGAGACAATAAATTTCTGTTGTTTCAGCCACTCAGTTTGTGGTGCTTTGTTATGATAGCCCTAGCAAAGTAATACAACCAGCACAGGCCCTTTACTCTGTGTTTACAGAGGTGATGCAGAAGGGCAGCTGCCCAAGACCGTGACCAGACTGAGAACCACTGTGGCAGCGGCTGTGGTCACTGGTGCCTCCCTGGGCCCAGCATGGAGACTGGCCAAAGCCAGGGCTTGTCAAGCCTTAGTAAACCATGTTTTTTAGCAATTTGATGAATTTTTGCTTATGTAAACATCAATGTAACCACCACCCAGATCAAGATATAAAACATTTCTAGCACACCAGATGCCCCCTGTGTGCCCCCCCACCACAAGGTAACCACTATTCTGACTTCTTTCACCAACGATAGTTTTGCCTGTTCTTGAACTTCATATAAATGGAATTACACAGTATATATTCTTTTGTCTGGTTTCTTTTGCCCAATATTGTTCATAAGACTGATGCATCTTGTTGATATAACTGTAGTTCATGCTTTTTTTTGTGTGTGTGTGAGGAAGATCAGCCCTGAGCTAACATCCATGCTAATCCTCCTCTTTCTTTTTTGCTGAGGAAGACCGGCTCTGAGCTAACATCTATTGCCAATCCTCCTCCTTTTTTTCCCCAAAGCCCCAGTAGATAGTTGTATGTCATAGTTACACATCCTTCTAGTTGCTGTATGTGGGACGCGGCCTCAGCATGGCTGGAGAAGCGGTGCGTCGGTGCACGCCCGGGATCCAAACCCGGGCCGCCAGTAGTAGAGTGTGCGCACTTAACCACTAAGCCATGGGGCCAGCCCTAGTTCATTCTTTTTTAATTGATGTGTAGTATTCCACTGTACAAATGTATCACAATTTATTTGTCCATTCTACCATTGATGGACATTTAAGTAGTTTCCAATTTTTGGCTCTTATGAATAAAGCTACTCTAAACATTCTTGTATATGTCTTTTGTCAACCATATGCACTCATTTCTCTTGGAATGGAACTGCTGGCACAGAGTAAGCACATGTTTTACTTTAGTAGAAATTGCCAAACAGTTTTCCAAAGTGGTTGGACCAATTTACACTGCCCCACCCCCACCCTAGCAATATACGAGAGTTCTGATTGCTCCGTGTCTTGATATCATCAGTCTTTTTATTTTTAGCCATTCTGGTGGGTATGTAGTGGTATCTCATTGTGGTTTTAATTTGCATTTCACTGATGGGTAAGGCTGTTGCAACTTTTCATACACCTATTGCCCATTTGTACCTGTTTGAGTCTTTTGTCCATTTTAAAAAGTTGGGATGTTTGTCGTTTTCTTATTGATTTGAGTTCTTCATATATTCTGGATGAGTCTTTTAATAAGGTTTTATCTCACAAAAAATTTACACACACATATGAACCAATGATCACTTCAGTTTAAAAGCCACTTTCATCATATTAATTAAATAAAAGCAATTTTTCCTGTCTTGGAAAATGACCCCAGATGACATAATACATGACACATTCATTTCATATGTACACAGCAGGGCTGGCACAGCAGATCCAGCCTGATTTTCACATGCTTGAGCAGAGTATTTGCTCTGGACGGGGCTCCAGAGCAGACTGAAGTTCAGTTTGGTTGAGCAGGCGTGGGGGTAGGGGGGTGAGGCTCACTTGTTCCTTCTTCCTCCAAGACGGGCTGATGGTGAATCTGTGTCACTCCCATGGACCACAGTGGTGGGGAAGCACAGAGCAAGAGGACCAGGGCGGAAACAACCCCATCTGGCTGGTTCCAGAGCTGGGCTCCCACAACTCAGCTGCATGCTCACTGTTTCCTACGTGTCTGCCACGTGTCTGTTCTGGGGACCCAGAGACAGTCAGGACACCAGCCTCATCCTGAGGGAGCTCACGGTCAAGGAGAAGAGTTAGACAGGGGAGCAAGGAAGGCTGATGCAGAGTGCTAAGTTAATAAGTGCTAAGGGTCACCTCTGTAAAGGGGGATGTGTGGTCAGGACGCTATGGGAGGAAGGCTGGAGGCTCCCAGATCCTGATGGTCCCAGGGTCATCTTCACAGTGCAGCTGATGCCACTTGAGCTGTGCCTTGATGGACTAGCAGGAGTCACCAGGCAGAGGGTGGCAAGAAGGATGTTCCAAGCAGGGGGCTCGGTGCAGGACTCCCCAGTGAGTGACAATCCTGGAGTGTAGGGTGTGTTGGGGGACAGGGTGGGAACATTAGGGTAGACCCAGGGCTGGCAGAGCCTTTCTTCCCTCAGCTTCCAGGGTGCCATGGTGCCGGAATCATGTTTCCTGCGGATGATCTGTGGCTTACAGCCTTCCAGGGCACCTCACCCTCAGGAGCAATGTGTGCCTAGTGAGTGCTTCTTTGTAGGATGGCCTTTCTGTTTAGAGGAATCATTATTTCTGATCCCTCCCCATAGTTACCACTGTCCACAAAACAGAGCATGCTGTCTGGGCCCTGGTGGGTGCTCAAAAGGCGGGCAGTCCATCCCCTCCCCTTACCTGAGAACACTTCTCTAAAAAAGAGCGACTTCTGGTTCTGTGTTGTTTTTCTTCTGGAGTTGGAACCTAGAAGACAAGAGATGAAGGAAGACGGTCCCCCCTGAAGCCCAGATTTCTGAGCCTGGAGGGGAGAAGTAGGGCAGGAGGACTTTGAATAAGGGCACCACAGTCAGGGTGGGTCCTGCCTTGCTGGGGTGCGGGGTCTGGGTGTGCTGGCGCCACATGGCAGGTGGCAGGGGCTGCTTGAAGGGCACACCTGAAGGACTGGGCCTGCCGGAGGAAGCTTCTGGCCTTGGTGATCTCCTGGGCCAATCTCCTTAAATCATCTCCTTCAAATAGTGGCAACGTGGGGTCCTTGAAAAGGGGAAACGAGCCCGAAGTTAAGCCCATGAAATGTCTGGATGGGACCTGAAAACCCAAAATCTCAGGAGAAGACTTGTAGAGCTAATTAAATGCAGCCTCCCACCCAGGGCAGGAAATCTTATGGGCCTCAGATTGTGTGTCTCCAGGGACAGGGAGCTCACCGCCTGTCAAGGCCGTCATTCTGCAAATAGTACACTTTGAAATAAGATGTCTGAGAGTCAGTGCAGGGAGGGGGTGGTAGCAAACCAAGACGGCCTCTAGACTTCACTGAAGTCAGCACCTCTCTGCCCAGTAGAACAGAAGTGGTGTATGCCCCTCATCTCTTTATTATTCAGTAAAATCTACTCAGCCCTTTCTCTACTTCTTGTAGTAAAATGGAGCTTCACAGGCATGCTTTTTTCTTACGTCAACCAATGAAATTCCAGAGCCTGGCCTTAAAAACACAAATTCTCACAATTAGCAAGAGAATCTAAGAGAGAGATGAAGCCATCCCTTCTCCCTGGCAGCAGAAGCAGATGATCCCATTCTGCATCCGCAAACTATTCAAAGAATCTGATTCGATAAGATATTAAACTGAGAACCTTCACAACATCATCAAGTTTGTTTTCCTGTGTTATAAGGACGCGGGTGAGTCATGGTTACTTTTACTTGTTCTGTTCTCTGTTTTATTTGTAATATTTGTCCCTAGAAGAGTTACTTGAACAAAGAAGTCATACGAAGCACTCGACTTCCAAAATCATGCCATGTGCTGTGGCAGTAATCGTGAACCTCCAGCAAGAAACCTGGAATTCTGGTTGGTTGTCTTACTTAATAATTTGCTGCCCTTCACCACATTCCTAAAAGGTATAAATACATGCATAATTTTTCTATCAGATCAGAAGACGATCATTGGTACTTTCCTCTTACCCTTCATGCGTGATGGAACCTACGATTTTACTAAATTTACGACTTAACAGACCATTTGAATATCTGTGTTTCAATGAATTGAACACAGGGAGACAGAAATATGCAGGAATTAAGCAAAGAGGTTGAGCATGGGTATCTGGGCTCTTGCTTTACCATCTACTCTGACTAGGTATATTCCTAAAGCTTGCTGAGTCTGTTTATTCATCTGGTAAATGGGTACAGCAGTGGTTGGAGGATTAAAAGAAGGATTCTATACAAAGCAACCAACCTGCGCAGTGTAAGCGCTCAAGGAACGTAAACTGTTCTATTATTAAATATTAACACCCCCAAACTCCGCTTCCCCCCCAACCTGGAGGAGAGTCAGCCTACAAGGAGAGCAGCAGGGAAATACAACCCTTACAAAAGTTGATATTTTGTCTCACAAGAGAAGTAGAGAGATCTTTTTAGTTAGAAGGAAAAAAACACGCCTGTTGACATTTATGGAGCCGTTTCAACAGACCTCACTCAGTCACCTACCCTCTCATCCACGAAGCCCTTGGTCAGCAGGCCGTGAATTCTAAAGAGCGTGTCCTCACCAGCAGGGCAGTGGTAGCGCCCCCCGGTGAGGGAGGCCAGGCTTCTCAGGAAGTTAGCTGCTGCCCTGGTGGAGGAACAGAGGGCTATGGCCAGGCCCCCTGAAGGACCAGGCTCCCTGGGCGCCCCCAGCCCGTGGGGTACTCAAGTCTGTGGGGCAAAAGCCTTGGACCCTGAGGCTCTGTGCCCTGAGGCCACGTCAGCATCACCACGCCCACTCTCCCAGCCAGTTTATGGCCACAGCTGCTGTGTGAAGTAGACTCACTCTGTTAGTATCGTCACTTAGACGGGACTCCCTAAAAGCCCATGGCCAGTGCACTGTAGCTCCATTCCTTAACTGGACATCTCTCCAGTGCCTACTATGTGCCAGGCCTGGCAGAAACACAGTGTGACCTTTATGGAGCTCGTGGTTTAGACAGAGATATCAAATACGCACCTGAGGAATTGCCAATTACAGTAAAGTTTTTTTCTGAAGCAGCTAAATCTCTCTTGTCTAACACATGTTCTTCTATGGTGATTGTTTATAAAATAACCATAACAGTACTACTTTAAACGTTTTCCCTCTAAATATTCACAAATGTGCTCCCAAGAAAGATCAGGAGGGAGGATACAACGCGTGACTGTGGGAACTTGCGCAAACTCTATTCCCTGCTGGAGAAAGTCAGCAGAGCGGGTCCTAGTGATGGGTGAGTTACGGGTGGAGAGGGGGCTCTCACTCTGGGGCATTACCTGCCTAGGCCCTCCTAGTTTCTGACTTACTGACTTGGGCCCAGGAGAGAGCAGCATCTAAGGGGAAGCCCCGGGTGAGGCGTTCTCAGTCCCTGCCCCTCAGACATGTGGCCGCGGGAAAGGAATCGGACTCAGCCTGGCTCCTCACTGCCCACCTGTCTGAGCAGCTCAGGGAAACGGTGTGCACTTTCACGTCTCTGTTCTCCTTGAGTCTTCGGACTTCACTCAGAATAAGGCTGCAGCTTGTGTCTGGCTTCCCGTCGGTCAGGAGGTACAGCCCTTCCACATCTGGAAAACTGAAAGCTTTCTGAAAGAGCACGGGAAGGTTGTCTGGCTCAGGGGTAAGCGCTAACCAGGAAGGGAAAAACCAACTGCCTGCTGTCCCCAAGGAAAATGTGTCTGATTGGATCCCACTGACTTGTCTGTTAACACACAGACCAAGGAAACTGCCGGGGTTTAGGAGAAAGAGCATGGCCTACTTCCTAGCTGGTTACCTCCCAGCAGGTCACTTAACCTCTCTGAGCCTCTGTGTCTTCATCTATAAAGTGAGAATAAGGAGAATTCCTTTCTCTCCAGGTTGTTGGGAAGATGAAACGCAGTAACACTCAGTAAATTCTAAAGTGTTCTTTGTAAATTCTAAAGCATTGTGTAATATCAGTATGGGGGGCGATGGTATTTCTGTTTTGCTGTGGGGTTGGGCTCAATGGTGGAACTTGCCAGTAATGCTTGCAAGACTGAGGTGCTCCCCTGAGCATGCAGGTGGGTCACCCATTGCATAGCTTCATGACATGCTGCATCTGTGGTCTCCACCAGAGTGTCCTGCCACAGCTGTAGGTCCTCTGCAAAGCTCAGCAGGTTAAAACTGGGGAGGGGAGAGGAGACGAGGTGGGCAGAGAGGGGGAGAAAGAGATTGGTTAGAACGCACCAGTTTATATTGAAATCGGGTGAAGTAACCTCTGTGAGGATCGTTCATGCCTTTTGGTGAAGACCTCTACAGGGAGCCCTATTGCCCCTCGGGGAGAGGGCTGTGGACCACCTGAGAATGAGAAGTACACATTGAAGATTCTGGATGCAGACAGAAAGAAATTTAAATCCCACCTCAGCCACTTACTGGTTATGTGATCGTGGGCAAATTATTTAATCTCTCTAAGTCCTAGTTTCCTTTTCTGAAAAATGGGAATAATAATAGCAATAGCTCATAGAGTCATCGTGAGGATTGACAGCATGCATGGAAAGTGCTCAACAAATGTTTACTCTTTTTGACGATAAGGCAAGAATGAGTCCCAGCCCTGAGTCTCCTGCTATCCTCTTAGGGTCAACCCTTCTGGGTAGAGAGAACAAACAACCTCACCTCTCCCTCCCTTAAAAAATCAAGTTCAGGGCCAGCCCCATGGCCTAGTGGTTAATTTTGGCACACTCTGGTTCAGTGACCTGAGTTCCTGGGTTCGGATCCCGGGCGCAGACCTATACCACTCGCCAGCCATGCTGTGGTGGTGACCTACATATATAGTAGAAGATTAGAAGATGTTGGGTCAGGGCGAATCTTCCTCAGGGAAAAAAAAATCAAGTTCAGCTGAAATCCACAATTCAAGGCCATATGGTGGTTCCTTTGATCTGCTTGCAATTGTCCCTGGGCCTGAGATGGATTTCTAAAAACTGCTTTACTTCTGCAGCAGAATGCAGTGCTCTTTCCTGCTCAGATAAATATTCAGAAGAGTATTTCTGAAACCTCCGGGCCCTTTGGAACTGTGAGGAGGGAGTGCCCTTGGCCTGGGAAGCCATAGGAACTACCCATTGATCTTCCTGATCCTCACCTACCCTCACCCTGCCTCTTACCTGTCACAGTGCTTCCTTAGCTGCTCCCAGATCAGCAGAATCAGCTCTGTCTTCACCTGCTGCAGATAGGGGCCCATGGACCCCGATGTGTCCAGCAGGATGCACACTTTGCTTTCCAAAATGGTGCCAAACAGTCGGCGGCTCCCTGCTCCAAGGTGGGTGGGGGCAGAGGCAGGGAAGGTGTGAGGGGTCGCTCCTCTGGTGTTTTTCCTCACTGTAGCTCTAAAATGCAAGGTCTTGCAACACCTGCTGCCTGACTGATCATTGACGATGTCAACCCACTGGGAGATGGCCTTGGTGGTGGTCTTGGAGGGGTCAACTGTCCAAGGGCAGAGCCGGTTGGTGGTCTGGGCTTTGGGGATCAAGGTCTCAGCTGTGGCTTTGCCTGTGATGACTTGCACAAGTGGCTATACCACCCTAGGCTTGAGTTTCCACATACCTAAAGGTAAGTGATTGGACTAAATGATGTCATAGTGTTGTTTGGGGCTGGAAAAGATGTTACAGAGCTTGGAGTCCATCAATTGGTCAACAGAAATCAAGTGAACACCCACTATGTGCCTGGCACTGTGCAAAATGCAATGGTGAACCAGAGGGTCCCTGGCCTCACAGAGCTGACAGTCGGGCAGGGAAGCAGATGTTAAACAGTCACAACTCTGCTGAGGGTTATGGCAAAGGGTTAAGGGAGCACATATGGGGAGAATCTGACTTAGATGGATATCGGTTGGGGAGCAGACACGCTAAGACTGAAGGACGAGCAGCAGCTAGTCAAAGAAAGAGGTGGAGTGTGGAGGTGAGGGAAAGGCTCTGAGTGGGGAGAGAGGAGCATGGCATGCTTGGGGGACAGAGAGAAAGCCAACATGGGAATAAAAAGACTGGAATGGAGAGACCCATAGGGAGAGGGACAATGAATAAAGCTAGAGAGGTTGTTAAAAGATTTGGAATTTATCCCAAGGGGAAACAGAGAGGGCCAGCAGCTTGTCCAGGGTCACACAGCCTGGCAATGACAGCCGAGCTTCAGACCTAGGTCCTCTGATCCACACTTTAGTCAGGCAACCTCTAACCCCAGCCCTTCTGGCTCCACAAGGCTAAATGGAGGTAACACAGGAAAAGTCAACCAAACAGAAGATGACGTGTCCAGTGTTCTCGAATCACATCTCTGGGACCTCATTGGAGACAGTAGGAGAAAAAATGGGAAAAATGCTGCAAAATGGACTTGCTGCTCTCCAGGAAAAGGTGGCCTCAGCTGGCTGCACCCACTGCCCAGGAATCTTCCAGGACTCATCCGGGGTGTTCTCTGGCAATGCTCATGTCAACATGAGGACAAGAGGGGAGCCATCCTGAAGCATGGGGCATGTTCCATGAAGACAGCCAGCCAGCCAGTCGGCCATCGAGGGACCTCCAACCACAAATGGCCAGCTGATTCATCTTAGGAATCAGACGATGGAGACATTGCAAGACACAGAGCCCTGTCATTTTTACCTGCCCAATCTCTCTAACTCTGCCTACTTCGTCCATCTCCATCATCACTACCCTTTTCCAGCTAGCCTGATCTTTCACCTGGGCTGCTAGTAGGTTGCCCTGATTCCACTCCATCCTCTCAACAATTTATATTCCTTGCAGCAACCAGAGGAATTATTAACAATGCTAACTTGATCACTTTCCCCTTATTTAAAACCTTTTAGTGGCTTCCCATTGCTCTTAGGATAAAAGATAAAGTCCAGGCCACAGTCTCCCTGGGATGGTCTCACCCCTTACTCTCAGCCACACCAGCTTCTTTCAGTCTGTACTCAGGATCCTCCCCTGCTCAGCATGTCAGTCATGCCTGTCTTTCCTCTCCTTGCTCAGGCAACATCTACTCATCCTTTATTTTTTATTTTATTTTTTAAAAATTTTTATTTATTGCAGTATCATTGGTTTATGACATTGTATAAATTTCAGGTGTACATCATTATACTTCTATTTCTGCATAGATTACATCACGTTCACCACCCTACTCATCCTTTAGATCTCAGATCTAATATCACCTCCTCAGGGGAGCCCCCTGCGACCTTCCTGTCCAGGCCCACTGTCTCTCTTAGAGGCTCTCACTGCACTGTGTCTGTCTTCTTCCTACACTTGCCACAGTTGCAACATTAGACTTGTTTGTGAGACACTTTGGTTAACGTCTGTCTCCGCCCAGACCCTATCCTCCATGAGCTCAGGACCATGTTGAGTGTTGCCTTCTACCATCTCCCCAGCACCTAGCGGGAGAGCTATACTTATTTGTTGAATAAGGAATGAGTGAATCCATGAAGCATCCTCTGGGCACCTTTTGAAGTACTGGATGGTGCTGGGGTGTGTACTTGTATGTGAGGCGGGGGACTTGTCTCAGACTTCAAAAGGAGCGCATTGCTGATCTTCATACACTTCCCGGTGGTAAATGTGAATTGGGGATGGGAGAGGCACATAACCTCTTTGTCCCATCTCAGCCTCTGACCTGATAACTACACCTGGAGCTTTCAGCCCCCTCCAGAGGCTTTGGAAAGTGGCAGTCATTGCTATATCCCACTGCCCGTGGACTGTTTATACCAGGTTCTGCTGCAGAGGATTGGACCTAATGAATTTGCACAGGAACATGAGTGGCCCACACAGGGATCTCCATAAAAGGCTCCTGCCCTCCTTCCTCCTATTGTCCCAAGAACCCCCAGGCCCCCAAGCCTAAACACCCTCTCATCCAGTTCTAGCTGTCTGTCTGGCCTCTAGGACTTGATGCTCAGCCCACCCACTTCTGGGATGTGAGCCTGGCTCCGCTCAGCCAGCCCTGTCCATTCACCTCTCCCAGAGGGGCCTTGGCGCTCTTTGTAAAGATGAAGGGGGGGCTTCTTCTCTGTTAGGACTCCCTCCCATCTCTACCTTCATGGACTAGTTCTACGGGGCCCAATCAACACTAAATTGAGCCTCTCGAGGGTCAGCCCCTCAGTGACACCCAGGAAGGTAAGGTGTGGAAGGTGGCCTTGCAGAGCAGGCCTGGACAGGCATGGGTTTTCTCGGTGCTCTGTGGCCCGAGCTCCACCTCCCTGTCATCCAGCACCTTGCCTGACCTCTGAACCCAGAAGTCATGTTCTACCGGGATGACCCTCCTGGCCTCATGCCTGACCTGACAGTTGGTGGGTGCCTAGCCTGGGAGGGACTGCCTTGGGGTCCCTGGGGGTGACCTTCCACTTCCCCTCACGCCCCTCCACCCTCCTGGACAGCACCAGGCTCACCAGACAGCAGCCACTGCAGCCTCTGGACGTAGCGCCTCATCACCTTCTCCAGGCGCGTGATGTACGCCTCCATTTCCCTGGGTGTCCATTGAATGTGTCTCACTTTCCCCTGGATTAAGGCAAGCAAAGGCAAACTGCCCCTCCATCAGCTATTTCTTCATATCGCCATCACCCCCTAAAATAGTTTAGTCCACTGTGCTTCATAATTTTGAAAACATTGTCAAGCATACATTTTTGTTTGTTTAAAAGCTCCTTTTCTTTGATTAAACTACTAGATTTACGGTTCTAGGAAAGTGTAGGAGAATCGAGATGATGGTTTTGTGGCAAATGTGGTAATTGTAATAATAAAAAATATAGTATCTCTAAATTTTAAAATAGAAAGCCCTTAATGGTAAGATGAGAGGTCCATAAATTTCAAACTAAAAGATGACTTCGGATGGAGAGGGGGCAGCATGATAAAACTCCCATAAAATTCCTCTGGTGGATAATTTTGAATTTGGTGGCTTTTAGCTTCATAGTTTCCCCTAATGTTGATAATGCTGTAGAAAACAGCCAGGAGAGAAAATGGGGTCTTTTTTAAAATGCGTGATTAGATTTTCCTTTGTACTAAATTTACTTGTTTCAGTGTCAAAGCAATGAAAAAACACTACCTCAAAACTAGAAAATAGAGAAGAGGACCCCTTCCCCTCCTGTCATAACCCCTGCTCCCCGCCTTCCTAACAGAACCATCATCAGTATTGGGGTACAGAGTTCTTACCGGCAAGCACTTCAGCCACCGCCCTATGTTCTCAGCAACTGTTTCTAATCCTCACTCCAATGAGCCCCTCTAACCCCAGCGCGTGGTCTCAGGCACTCTGAGGGGCTGACTTCTCTTCCAATGGGATTCTACATCATCTATTCCCTGAGGGTAGTTCCCCTTGCGGGGTGGAGTTCTTAGAAGCAGGAATAGAAGCCATGGTACGTACATTCACATGGAGCTCTCCCCAAGACACTCTGCCGTTAGTGCCCAAGAAGAGACGGGAGTTGGGAGGGAAACAAACAAATAAATAAAAATCATGACTTACGTTGATCTCTGTGCTGGGGAAGACGCTGCAGTACTTGGCTGATGCTGATCTCTGTGCTGACTTTTGATGAGTGCATTTGGGACCGATGTATCTGGAGATCTCCATCTTCAGTTTTTTTAGTCCATAATTTGCTACCCACTTTAGAATAAAGGAAAGAACTATTACTTTGGGTAATTCAGGCTTAATGGACTGATTGACTCATCTACTAAAAGTTCATGTTTGAAATCTGTCTCAGGTTTGAAATGTGAGGTCCCTAGGTCCTCACTGAGCATCCATCGCATGCAGCTTCCTTTCGCTGTGCTGGGGAGAGATGAACAAGAAATATGGGGAAAAGGGAACTGAATGTATTGAGCATCTACTACTCCTCAGTCTCGTGGACCTTGTTGCTTCCCCAATATCCATTTCAATCCTCTCCCACAAAATTTGAGTGGAAAGCCCTGATTGGTCTAAAGTTCAGACTCTAAACCAATTAGGATAATCTCAGTCTTCTTGTCACAACAAGAGACACAAGAATGGGCAGGCTCAAAGCAATCAGAGCATGGCATCCAGGATTGGCCCAATCAGAGCCAAGCTCAGACTTTTATTGGATAGTTATGGGAAGAAATATGTTCTGTCTTCTGGATATGAACAAGAAGGGGGATTTCTGTTGCTTGCAACCAAAAGGATCCGACACCACTAAGTACTTTACACAAAATACGCTTCAATTAATCATCAATCCTATTAGATAGGTACAGTTGTCTTCATTTTATAAATGAAGACATTGAGATTGAGTGACTTGCCTAAGGTCACCCAGCTAGGAAGTGGCAGACCCAGGTTTTGAATGTAGGTTTCTTTAATCCTTTCCCCATCCAGCAGGTTTGTCCTCATTTCCAAGTATGCCCACCCTCCTAGAAATAATGGTTGGTGGAAGGAATTATTGCCTAGGAGGGCATGTGCTGGTGCTGACAACTTAATACCTCTCGGCTTGAGCAGATTGTGTCCTTCCTGGGCAACTCAATAGAAGGGCTAGTCCTTCTTACGCCCCTTCCTTGAGGGTACTTCTTGTACACTGAGCCTGGGAGAAACAGAATAAGGTTACCTTGTGCACCTCTCTCTCCCCTCCCGCCACTGCCCCCTTTTTCCTGTCAATTTCTCTCAATGAAGTCAGTTGTAAAATTCCTTAGGTGCAGTTTGCTGAGAGGTAGAAAGGGAGGCTGTTAGGTGGATCAGGGAAAGCGTGCTGGGACCTCCTTCTCCACACCTCAATGAATTGTTACTGCGATCTACCATTTCGAGGCAATCAGTCAGGCTGGCCTGGGGGCTCATCTCCACTCCCTTCCCAATCAGCCTCAGAGCTGAGGACACTGCCCCTGGTGAATGGAGCGGGGGTTGCTGCACCCGGGAACCTTGGGAGATCTTATCTTTAATACTGACTTTTCTCATTCTCTTGCCAGTGTCAAGACTTGGCGTGTCCACTTCCCCGGACTGGGAGACCTGAGTGGTTTGAGGATTGGCCTGCTCCGGAGGCACTGCTGCCCATGTCCCAGGACAGCTAGAGGGGTCTCCTTCCCACGGGGCCCGCTGACCTTACAGTTCCCACAGGGCGAGGGGCCGTCCAGACATTTGTGTAGCCTCCGACTTACCCACGTTATTCCCTGTCTCTGTATAAAACAGTGAGAGTGATGTCTCTGCCTCCCTCGATTTGGTCTTCCTTCTCCATTCGGCGGTCCCTTCTCTCACTGGCTGGGCTGCAGCTGGAGGACATTTGGCCTGTCGGCTGGAGCAGCCTCATGAGTTCATGTGGTGAAGCTGTCTAGCTTGGCTTCGAGACTTGTCAATTTTAGCTGTGCTCTGACCTTGAAATGGGGCTCCTAGATGGCTTTGAGGTCCTTTGGGACTCCCCCAGGTCCTCTGACCTCACCAGGGTCAGTAACAGCTAGGGCGGCCATTTACCAAGTCCTGATATTTACCAGGCATGGTGCTCAGTACCGTCTCATTTGATCCCCATGGTCCCCCAGTTTACAGATGAGGTAAGTGGGACTCAGAGTCAGTAAAATAGAGCAAAGATTCCACCCAGGTCTTGCTGACTCCAGAACTCTGCTCTGAACCGCTCTGCTATGTCTTTCACATTAGAAGTAAGATAAGTACGTGGTCTTAGGTTCTAAGAGCTGAGTGCTTTCATAAAAATACGGATGCCCTGTCACAACCAGCTGGCCCTGGTCATTATCCTTAGCCCGTGTGAGCCTGAATTTCTTCATCAGTAAAATGGGGAACTTAGAGATTACCTGCCACATACAACTGATTGTTATAAGCTTTAAAGAGGACAATCTTAGAAGAAGGGCTGGCACATGATCAAGACCCATGATCACTGATTATTTTAGTGACTATCACTATTAATACACCTCTGTCCGCCCCTCCACCCGCCAGCCCAACCATGGCTATGCCTTACCTGGTGGGATGCCTGGTTTGCCACTGAGTGGATGCCATATCAGAGCTTTCAAGGGGGGACTCTTCTCTCTGTCAGGGTCACCTTTAATGCTCTAGAAAACAGGCAGTCTTTCCTATCAGTGGTCTGTTCTCTGTGGCAGGCAGTACCCCGGTCACCCCAGACTCAATCTGTCAATTAGGAACCTTTGCAGGGAGGGGCCTGAGGGAGTAGATGCCTGGACATGTTTGCTTCACCTCCTGAGCAGATTCAGAGGAGACTGGGCTTTGAGGTGAAAAAGCACATGCATGTGTGTATGTGCATGCGTGCGTGTGAGTGTGTAATGAGAGAGAGAAAGCTAGGACAGCTGTGGGATTTGCCAGAACTTTCTTCACCAGTTACCCGCCCCTCTTCCTACTGGACTGGGATTTCTGGGCCTCCAGCAGGACAAGCAATCCTTCAGGTAACTTCTGTGCCCTGTTGGGCACCTCAGTTTTAAGGGAGGGGTTCCTCCATTACTGGGCACAACTGGAATTGGCGATGGTTCAACAAAGTCACGCAGGGACTGGACCAGCTGAGGAGACCTCTGGGAGAGCTGCTGTGAAAAAGGCTGGTTGCTGCCACTCCAGAGAGCCCCGGGCCCTGGTTTCAGGAAGCCCGTTAGAGGCCTTAGCATAGCCTAAGTCCCCTCACACTGAATCAGCTCAGGAACCACTGAAGGCCCAAGAGGCAGACCCTGAGATTCTGGTGTTTCACCTCAGAATTTGGTAAGGCAGGAGAGGGCGATGTCTCTGGGCTGGCTCCTGAAACCTTGTGTTCTTCGAATGAGGGCAGTACCTATGTGGACAGAGTCTCCTGGAAATGCAAAATGGGAGTAAGCTACACACTGTCTGGGTGGATTTCCTTGTTCCGAAAATGTGCAGTGTTCACAAGGGCCCATCAGTCAGTGAAATGCTGAAGAGCTCATGGGTTTCATTGTCCCTTCTGCTCATAAGCACTGTGGATTCTGGGATCTGCCCCCAGTCACACCCCTAGAGGCCCTTCTAATTGCTGAAGTGGGTAGTTATGCAGGACAGATTTGAGAGGCTGTGAATAAGGATAAGCCCCAGCAGGCACAGAGTCACCCTCAGGCTCCTGTCAGACCCCTGCTAAGCCTTGGGCAGCAGCAGCAAGAGCCCATTAGACACCCAATTACCCTAATTCCTCTGCCCCTGAGAGACCCTCCAGGATAAGCCCTCCTGCCTTACAGCCATGGTGGGTGTCAAATCCATGGAGTCCTTGGTACCACAAAGCTGGCACAGGCAGGCAGAGCCGAAGGTGGGGTGGAGGGGGAGGCCAGAGATGCCTCCAGAGCTGAGAAGCAGGTCCCCCAGCAGAGTTCCTCCCCGGAGGCCAGGGCTGGAGGCACCCATGAGACACTCACCACTGAGGACCCTGCCCCCGCCCCTGCTGGCCCTAGGGTCTGGGGGCCTGGTCCAGGCTACTTCAAGATCTAGGAAAGACCAGGAGACAAGGTGGAAACAAAATCCTCTGCGTGTTATGAAGGAGGGGCGTCAAACCATTCTGCCCACCGAGGGGGCTGTGGGCTTGGAAGGACCGAGTTTCTTGGGCTGATTTCTTTGCTTGAGCATCTTTGGCTTTTCTTTCGGGAGGGCTACACTTTCCAGTTCTTTCCTGGACTGGTTCTTCAGGGATGACACGAGTAAGGCACACTGCAACATGATTGGGAGGGTTAGCAGCACCCTAGCCATGGTGTGCCTCCAGGCAGGGAACAGACATACACGCTTACACACACAGCAGGAGAGACTGGGTCCACTGGGGCCCCTGGTCTCCTCTTTCTGTCCCTAGAATGCCTCCTGGGGCCGAGAGCACTGTGGATCAATCCTATTAATAAGTACCATGTATGGAGGGCCTGGGATGCACCAGGCACTGGGCTAGTTAATGCCTCAAACCCTTACACCAATAAGACATGCCACCTATGCCAGTAGGGTAAGTGCTATCTTATCCCCATTATACAGACGAGGAAACCAAAGCTCAGTTTAAGGGAGTTTAAGGAACTTGCCCAAGGCCACACTACTAGCATGTAAAGGACGTTTGATTCAAACCCACGTGGGTCTGGTTCCAAAGCCAGTGCTCTTTCCATATGTGCACCCAGCATCCACACAAGCCAGTCAGCTCAGCATGTGCCCAGGGCTGACTCCAGATGCTGGCAGAGCAGAGGTGTAATACTTGGTTCCTTTTGCCTACACATTTCTCAACTGCCTGGAAGTTTCTCTAGTAATTATTTTCAATCAAAGCACTAGACGGCACCACTCGAATGTAAATAACACCCTAGGAAGAGTGCATTAAACCATTATTGCCTGTTAACACCTTGTGACTGAGTTTATCAGATGAGGGAGCTGGGCTGATGTGCATCTGAGGAGAAGGGGCCCTTTCAGGGGCCTCTTCTGAGGCACCTCTAGGAAGCCCCAGATCTGCCAGTCTATGGCCCCGCACTCCCGGGAGCTCACAATGTAGCTGGGGAGATGAGCCGTCCTGCAAATGACGGTAGTTAAAATGCGAGTCAGGCTGAGTCTGCTTCACAGGCCCCTCCTGCTCCCTGCTTTGACCATGGCCACCTGCAGGCTCTCTGTCCATCCCCATGGCTTGAACTGCCCCATGTCTCTATCTCCAGCCCTTATCTTTTTCTACCTGCCTGAAGGGTACCTCCACTTGTTATCTCACAGGCCCCAGAAACTCACCTTTGTTCTAGGCTCCCCCTCCCTGCAGCCCCCACGGGATCCTCCTCCTGTTTTCTCTCTCTTGGTCAATGGCACCACCGTCCACCAGGTCCCCCAATGAGGAAGCTGGGATACCCTGGGATTTCTTCTCCCTCACCCCATACATTCAATCAGCCACAAGTTTGGTCAGTTCTTCCTTAAATGTTCTCATGTCCATTCCCTTATTTCCATTCTCATTACTCCTGACATGATCTGGTCCTTTTCTGCCTCTCTATTCTCACCTTGAACTGTTTAACTCCCTTGTCTGAGGAAGTAACACTTTAGTGAGCCTTGAAAAGTAAGGAGCAATCCATGAACAATCTGGGAGGGGAATGGCAGGCAGAGGAAATAGCAGCTGCAAAGGCCCTGAGTTTAGGAATGAGCTTGATGTGATCAAGGAACTCAAAGGAGACCACAATGTACAGCACACAGACCTAAAACCAATGACTTATTGGAGACTCCCATGTTTCATCTGAAGCCTTGGGTGTCAGTGGATCAGGACATGAGGAGGGAAGCTGATAAGGGATGAGTCGTGTCCCCCAAAAAGACATCTTGAAATCCAAACCCCTGGTACCTGTGAATGTGACCTTACTAGGAAATAGGGTCTTTCTAGATGTAATTAAGATGTAAGTTAATGAGGTCATATTGGTGAGGGGTGGGCCCTTAACCCAATATGACTGGTGTCCCTATAAGAGGAGAAATGAGACAGACACACACCAAGGGAAGAGAGCCATGTGAAGATGGAGGCAGAGATTGGAGTTGTGCTGTGACAAGCCAAAGAATGCCAAGGATTACTGGTGACAACTCCCTCCTTGAGCAAACTTTAATCAGGCTCCTCTGAGCCCTCTTCTCAACTAGGCCTCCATGTTGGTCTTTTGAACCCAGTTTTAGCAAAGAATCCTCCAAAGTCAAGGGTGAGAATCTCCCCACCCTTGGTATCTAAGGCCTTGGCTTGCCTTTAGCAAGAATCCTGTTAAGCCAGTTTAGAAAGAATCCCCCCTACCCTTGATATCTAATCAAGTTCCTCTTGAATAAAATCTTCTTTGACATTTTTAACAAGCGTCCAGTATCATTTTTTTTTCTTTAACACTGGCCACCACCAGAAGCTAGGAAGAGGTAAGGAGGGATTCCACCCAGAGCCTTCAGAGGGAGCATGGCCCTTCTGACACCTTGATCTCAGACTTCCAGCCTCTGGAACTATGAGAGAATAAATGTCTGTTGTTTTAAGCCTCTTAGTTTGTGGTACTTTATATGGCAGCCCTAGGACATGAATACTGGAAGCCAGGGCGGTGATGTGCCCCACACCTCAGGCGTACCTTTTGTGAGTAGTTGAGAGCCTTTTCCATCTCAGATGCGATGGCACTGATGTCATCACTTTCGTAAATGCCTGGAAACAAGCACATCATGAGTGTGGGGAAGGGACACAGATCCTGGCACATGTCCGTATCTGAAGACATGAGGGCCACGTGGAGGTCACCTCAGCCTGAGGGGCAGGGTGGGGCCTTAATGAGTTGAGCTGACCAGCCTCCACGCCTCCACTGTCCAGTGGTGAAGGGGTGGGCAGTTACAGTGAGGTTACCAACAGTGGGGCTGGTCTTGGGACCCAACGCCCTGGCACCCAGCCAAGAGCTCTCACCAGAGGGAAGAGCAGGTTAGGAACAAAGGTCTTGCTATTCCAGTGAATAAAAAGACCCATTTTGGGATTATTTAAAGTAGCTAAAGGCTGTAGTGAATACTGATGACTTATTTGAGAGGGACTAGAGTATAATGGCTAAGAAGACTTGAAGCTGACCTGCCTGGGTTCAACTCTTGGTTCCACCACTTAACTGCGTGTTTTCGGGCTCTGTGTCTCAGCTTCCCCAACTGTAAAGTGGGGATAAAAATAACCTACTTCATAGGGTTCTTGTGAGGAACGAATCATCATACACAGTCATGTGCTGCATAACGACATTTCGGTCAATGATGGATCACATATATGACGGTGGTCCCATAAGACGAGTACCATATAGCCTAGGTGTATAGTAGGCCATATCATTTAGGTTTGTGTAAGTACACTCTATGATGTTCCTACAATGACAAAATCACCTAACGATGTATTTCTCAGAACACATCCTCGTCATTAATTGATGCACGACTGTATGTAAAATGCTTAGAACTGTGTCTGATCTATAATAGCTGTTCTATAAGTGTTTGCTATTATTAGTATTCATCACCACTAATAACTTAAATATATATACCCAGCACTTTTCATGGAAAGACCTGGGAAACAGGGCTGCCAAGTTCCAGCACCAGCTATGCCACTAACTTTGTAACCAAAGGCCCCTCATGTCCCTGGGAGTCATTTCTTCATCTGTAAATCAGAGAGGTTGGAATGCACTAGTGTGTCACAAGCCTCAATCATTTGTGTATCATTGTCACAATTTTGCCTTATCTAGATACCACCTAAATGATTATTTAATTAATTTATATTTTTAATCAATCCACTGGCATTTATTTAAAAGTATATATTTTTTAATTGAGATATAATTGACATATAACATTATATTAGTCTCAGTTGTACAACATAATGATTTGATATTTGTATATATTGCAAAATGACCACCACACTAAGTCTAGTTAACATCCTCAAAAATATATTTAAAAAAGAAAATTTATGTCACTGCCGACAATGGAAAGCTAGCATTTTTCTAAGAAACAAAAAAACAAGTATATAACTCTTTATCGGAGAGAAAGAAACTTTTCCTCTACCCTCCTAGATTCTCCAGCTGGGGCCTTGGAAATTAAACTGACAAATTACAGATTAACAAGAGAAAAACAGAGTTCAGTAACATGGGTAGCGCACACACACATGGGAGAAACCCAGTGATGAGTAATTCAAAGGAGTGGTTAGAACTTGGGGCTTACATAGCATCTTAACAAAGAACAATGCGTTTGTAGAGAAGTGACAAGACAAAGGAAAGGAGGTTAGGCTTTTAGGGGTGGCAAACTGTGGGGAGGTAAATACACAGGGGGACCTAATGGAAGATAAGGGTTGTTTTAGTAAGGTTTGTTATGCAGATTCCTCTTGGTGCTGTCTCTGGACTGGTAAGAGTCTAGAATTATCTTGGTGATTCAGAGTCTAAGAGTCATCCTCTTCTTCCTTTACAAATGGAAATTTATGTCCTGCTCTTGGGAGCAGAGTGCTTTTTTGGCATCTGCTCTTTCTTAATTGTCTTCAGCTCAAAATAATCCTTATGCCAAAGTGGTATATTTTAGAATGGCATATTCTGATCCCCACAACTACCACAATAAGAAAATTTGTTGCTCTGTGTTCCACGTACAACTGTCTTGCCAAACACCTGTTGTGAACACTTCACCTTTTGGGAAACACTAAAGTAAGGGTCTTTTAGGGCCCTTTCCAACTCTGACATTCTAAAATACTTTAAAATAGTTTTACTTTAAAAAAATTATGGTAAACATACATAACATAAAATTTACCATTTTAACCATTTTTTAAGTGTACAGCTCAGCAGCATTAAGTACATTCACATTGTTGTGCAATCATCACCACCATCCATCTCCAGAACAGTAGTTTTACATTTTCGAACGTGGCTTTCACATGCCCCTTTGCCTGAGTACATTTATGGCATAGGGAGCGATGTTGGTACTGAGACAACTATCTGGAAAGGAAGACGTGGAGACATCAGACAACATTCAGGTACCTGTGTCTCCAAACCAGTGGAAGCGGCCACCAGCAGCCTGGGTGACCTCCCGGTAGGCAGCGGCGGTATCAGTGCGGCTGGCATAGCAGGCAGGGGGCGTGGTGTCCATCTGTGGCTCACCCACATAGAAGAGACACACGTGCAGGTGGAGGTCGCAGCCTCCGCAGGCCTCAGCCATGTAGGCGCTGAGCATGGGCTGCAGGGGAGAGAGAGCAGAGGGGGCCCAGAGCTGAGACTTCTTGAAGCTGCTGGTCTCAGCTCAGTTCAGCCTAATCATCTTTCTTGAGGGCCCACTATGTGCCTGGTCTAGTACTTGGCACTGAGGATAGAAAGATGAGCAAGGCTGGGTCACAATTTCTCTTACTGTCTTAATAGGGTAGCTGGACCCGAGAGCTGGACCCGAGAGCCTGGTTACTCCAAGTGTGGTCTGTAGACCAGCAGCAAGGCCATCCTCTGGAAGCTTGAGGATGTTAGTTAGATGAAGTTAGAAATGCAGACTCTCAGGCCCCAGGCCAGACTTTCTGAACCAGGATCTATATTTTAACAACATCCCCAGGGGATTCTTCTATACATTAAAGTCTAGTTTGGAAAATCCTGCTGGAGAAACCATTTGCTGGGCGTCCAGCTAGGGGAAGATGTGGGGTCACGAAGGTTAAGGGATGTGGCCTACCCACCATGTCCTGGTCAGGGATGCCCCCCGTGAAGAGGTAAATGCCCTGCGATTGGTGTTTGTCTTTGTCCTTGAAGTCTACTTCCACAGCCTTCCGCAGGGCGCTGAGGACGTTCCTGCTGCCCCGACACTGCAGGGTCAGGGCCCACCTGGGAGGCAGGGAGGGCCATGCTGAGGGAGGCTGCCTGCGAGGCCCGGAGGGGGAGGGCAGGAGCGGAAGGTGGTTGTTTGCCGATTCGTGCCCATGTCTGTCAGCGGACAGGGATTCTAGAAAGCTACTTCCTGATGGAGAGGGGAACAGAGAAAACGGCACCTCTGAGGCTGCCCTCAGACACAGCAGGTGCAGTCTCTGCCTGTCACCTACCGCCATGCGCTTTGTAAATTGTCGTGGCTCACAGCAACCATCTCGGGCCTCCAGCTTTCAATTGTGCTTCCAAACCTTGGAGCGAAGGAAAGAGGGCTTGTTCTTAGCAAGGAGATAGGTCCACCGTGCCCCAGCTCCTTGGGCTCCCCAGGCTTTTAGGAGGGCAAAATTCTGATTATACCCTCAAAATGTTAGGATGTCACTGGCCTGGTACAGCCACGAGATTTCCTTGCTGGTCATGACAAGTCCCAGTACATTCATGGTGGGAGCAGAGCTGGGGCTCTCAGTCAAGACACAGAGCCAGGACCAGCCTCGGCCAGACTTTCCTCCTGATGTGCTGAGGGTACAACGTGTTGTCTCCCTTCTCCCTGTGAACTTCCCCATCCACCAAGGAGGGAGTCATTTCTCCCTGTTGAAACTCGCCTAGCACTGATTCATCCTCACAACACATTTTTCACTCTATCTGTACTATAGTTTGTTTTAAAAATATACATCTCATCTTTCCTATGAGATAGAATTTAAATCCTTGAGAAGAGGATTTATCCCCTTTATCAAGAAACAGATGTCCCCTCTCTGGTTCAAGACTGATCCTTCCACCGAGGCTCTTGTCTTCATCATCACCAATCTCTTCTGAGACTTTGCCCCACAGTTCACATCCATTCCCAACTTCTCTCTGCTTCCCTCTTCCCCATTGCCTCCTTACGTGTTTAAGCCTCTCCGTACTTAACAATAACTTCCTCCTTCTACCAGCATCCTCTACTAGCTACTCCTCTCTCTCTCCCGTTTATGGACAAGCTCCCTAGAAAAACTGTCCCACCAGCTCCTCACTTCTGCTTCCTCCTCAGCCCACTGCAGTCAAGCTTCCACCCTGGGAGGTTATCTGGCAAATATTAATGATGAGCTCCTTTCCCCCTCCCACGGAATAGCTCTAATATAGCTGGATAATAAAGCCTCTATTATAGTTTGGTGAAAATTCTAACAATATCCAGACAGTGAAAATTCCTCCAATTTTATCCCCCAGAAAAAATTTCTAACTCTTTGCTCTCTAGTTTTTTGGATTAAAAAAAAAATGTGTAGGTAAACATATATTTACAGAAATGGAATTATACAATATATACTATTTGTAATCTGTTTCTTTCCTTTCATTTGGAGTTATTGAGGGCATTTTTCTTTTTTTGTGTGTGAGGAAGATCAGCCCTGAGCTAACATCCATGCCGATCCTCCTATTTTCTGCTGAGGAAGACTGGCCCTGGGCTAACATCTGTGCCCATCTTCCTCCACTTTATATGGGACGCCGCCAGAGCATGGCCTGACAAGCGGTGCATCGGTGCACGCCCGGGATCCGAACCCCGGCCGCCAGCAGCGGAGTGTGCGCACGTAACCGCTATGCCACAGGGCCGGCCCCGAGGGCATTTTTCTAAATGTGCTCTCCTAAATCTCCCTCATTCTTTTGAATGGTTGCATGGTAGTCTACTGCCGGGATTATTTTACCAGTTTCCTCTTGACAGTCACACAGTTTGCTTTCAGGTTTATCTACTATTATAACTCTGCGTTGAACATCTCTGCACAGTTATCTTTGCACACTCATCTTAGTATTTCCTTTGGATAATTCATAAAGGTTTAATTAAAGGAATAAAGAATATACACTTAAAAAAATTTAATACAGGGCCTATAACGAATGACCCTTCCACTGACACTTTCCAAGAGTACCCTTTTCATCATATCACCAGCACTGGGCATTATCAATCTTTTAAATAAACTGAATTGCAAAAAAATTATATCTCATTGTTTTCATACCAGTGAGCTCTATTGCCAACTTCGATGGATTCATTCTTCCCTTTCCTTCTTTGCTTCTGCAGAGTTGAACTCTGCTTCTTTCTAAGACTCTCCTCCCCTTGGCTTCCCAACACCATTCTCTCCTGGTTTTTTTCCTGCCTCTCCTGCTGCTCCTCTCTTGTGTTGCCCTGCCCTACCCTCCAAACATCAATGCCTCCCAAGTTCTCTCTTTGATTGTCTTCCCTCCCCCCTTCACATCTCCACAGGAGCAATTCAGGCACTCCCATGTTTTCAACCATATAACCAGAATGCTGATGGCCCACAGACCCGTATTTCCTGGGTAGAACACCTTATTGGAGCTCATAACAGGAGAATCTCCAAACTCTCAAGAATCTCAAACTCTACATGTTTAGAATCATCTTCTACTTCCAAGATCTGCTCCACCTGGCATGTCTTCTCTTTGCCATCCCTCATCCCCTATAGCCAAACAGTGACTATATTCTGTAGCTTCTAACTCCCAACGCCCCTTCCTGCATCCCTTTCTTCCATTCCCATGGCCTTGGCTCAAACCCACTCTGCACTAGTGCAGACTATTGCAGTAGCCTCACTGGTCTCCCTTCCTCCAGTATTTCACCCTGCACCTTGCTGCTTGAGCATTTCAAGATTACTACCTTGCTTAAAATCCTTTAATGCCTATATGTCCTATAGTATAAAAACTCCTGAGCTCAGTCTATATAAATCCTCCATCATCTGGGTTATTTTGTCATGCACAATCTCTCCCTCTCACCCCATATCCGTACTGAACTACCTGATAGTCCCCCAAAGTTCCATAGTACCTCACACCTCTGTGCCTCTGCTCATGCTGTTCCCTGTACCAGGAATGCCCATCCTCTCCATTGCCCCCATCACTTCCATGTGCCAGGCAAACACCTACTCATTTGTCAAAGCTTAGCTAAAGGGCGACTTCCTCTACGAAGACTTCCTGACCTCACTCTGCCAAGTAAAAGGGACTGTTCCTGCCTTTGACCTCTCACAGTCCCATAGCCTGCCTTCCACTTATTGTTTACAGAAAACATGTAACAGCACTTATTTCTTAGCATGCCTCTCTCCCACTACTAGCCCGTTAGTGCCTTGAGGACAGGCATTGTGTGTTTTAACTTCCGTATCCCTAACGCCCAGCACAGTGACTGCTACATGGCAGGCTTTCAATAAAAGTTTGTTGAATGAATGAATGGATGGATGGATAAATGAATGAAAATATTGCCTAAAATGTTTCTTTAAGCATTTTTTTCTGTAGAATTTATTGTGGAAAGATTAGGCTCTGGTACAGAATAATATATAATATTAACTATTGACTTAATAGGTTTAGAATACTCCCTATTTGATGTGAAGTTGTGCAAAAATGTATCCTTTAAGTGGGTTCCTTTTCTTTCTTCTCTAATTAATTAAAATGGTATGCAATTAAAAAATATATAAAACTGTATATATTTAAGTTATATGTAACCAAATATATATAATTTAACTATATACATATATGGATAGTTAAATATTATATATATATATGGTTTGAGATCATATATATATAGTTAAATTACATATAATTTTATATAATACATATAACGTATATGGTTATGTAACTATATATAATATATATA